CAATTCGATACGAATTAAACGAATATTGCTGATATTCACGAATCGGTACGTTATGCCGATGCGCATCACATCGAGCAATATCGTGTATCGGCTGATATCGTTATATAGATGTCGATTCACGAATCGGTACGATATGCCGATGCGCATCACATCGAGCAATATCGTGTATCGGCTGATATCGATATATAGATTTCATGCGGGGCGATATCGGATTCAACGATATTGCTGCGATATATAGATATTGAATCTATATACGATTTATATCACCCACTCCTATTGGTTAATACTCCACACAATCTGGTTTTGATTGCCGATCAATGAATGATGATCGAGTCAGTAGGTTTCTTATTGATATTTGCCTCATAATTGTTTCTGATGACCATCACGTCACAGATAAGAACTCGAAGGCATTCAATTTGGATGGATCCTAATCATACAATCTATTACTATTTAAAACTTCATCTATCTGGTACGTTTTAGAAGTCAAGATACTCAAATAGAGTATTTTGGCAGTGTTACTTAAAAAAAATAAAGTATTGCAGCTCGTTGGCCTATATATTCATGAAGGAGTAAATTGGCGATTATTTACCCGTTAAAAAATGCCTACCGCAAATCGAATTGAACAACGATGAATTCACAGCTTGTCATACGCACGGCCGCGTGACACGATCATCCGAAATTAGGTCACGCTGTGAATTGAACCGCAGACCGTGATGCGAGATACGAGCGAGCAGCCCTGTCATCATGTTTTTATTTTTTTATTTTTGGAACGAAGTTCCTTAAGGGGCGATGCGGAGGGGTAGGGTTTTTTAGAGCACCACCCTAACCGGGAAAAAACGTCCGTAACATAAGATTTTTATTAGTAATGCACGCAGTGTACGACTTAACTTTGTAATAACGTACAAAAAATAACATATTTTTATTATATATTTTTTATATATCATTGTGAATAAAATAAAGTTGATAACTTTGTAAAATAGTTTTTTTATTTTTCTTTATCAATAAAAAAATCATAATAAAAAATGTATAAACCCAATAATTATTTTCTTTATACCTCGAATAGAACTTAAAATTAATATTTTTATAATAAGAAACTTCGTTTCTATCCGGTGTTCCACGACACCACACATCTTTTTCTGTCCTGCTACTGCCAAAAACCTCGAGGGGTTATTCTGCCTTCACTGGATATGTACGTGCGCTCACGGACTCAGCGTGAAATTGTTAACATTAGTCCTAACTAGAGCAGTGCTTTGCTGAATCTACCACGGATCGTAATAGCGACCCACTGAGAATATCCAGCGAGCAACTCAGTAGGCTGTCTGTGTGTTAAGTTCAAGCCCTTTGTTGCATTCGACGAATTTAACGAAAACGGTGACCGATGTGTGGAATGGGAAAACCGATCGTTTATAACATAGATTAAAAACAATGTGATAAAAACCTAAATACATTGCTAATACACTACTAACCGTGCATACTCCTGATCGTGCTTCACATTACATAAATATGCATTATTGTGATATTTCAGAAAAACCGATAAAAAAGGCCTGTGTCCAGCAGTGGGCAGATAAAGGCTGATGATGATGATGATGATGATAAAAAATATGGTTAAGACGTGATCCGCACACATGTACAAGTTACAAGTACCTAAATGTTGCAATTATATTGGAATTAAAATCTCGCACCTACCATTCATATCTCAATTATTAATAAAAGCCTCACAAGCGTTCACGAATGACTTCGACAATGAAAAGTTTAAACTCCCGTACTAAAAGTGCAAACTTGCAAGTTTTATAAATTTTCGTAATTAACTTAAAATTAATTAAAATTGTTCAAATTAATTTAATAGGTGAAATGACAATAAAATAGAGAACTGGACCTCACGTTTCATGGTGAGTGACGTCATTGTAATTTGCAAAAGCTTATGAGTAATAAGCTGATCTGCCTATCAAAGATCCTAAGATAAATCAAAACAAAAATAATAAAAATTAACAAAGTAGTATACTTTAATTCTAATAAATTAAAAATAAATAATTTAATAAATTATTAATTGAATAATTTAAAAAATTATTCTCTTCTAAAAAAGTAGTCAGCAAAAACCTTGTATACACGTTGCAATTTAATTTGACTTACGGTATCCCGTTCTTCCTTTAGAACGATAGTCCCTATGCCGACAAAAGCCAGGATCAAACGTAGCGTTAAATTATTATTTTTATGATTGGAAGATTACTAGTGGCCCGGAGGCCTTTTCAGTTTCACCAGGACAGGTGGGCAGCAAAGGCTCAGCCAGGAGGGGAGCGTTAATACCAAGGTATCACGGCTATAGTCACAGGGGAAACTGTAGGGATCGCGAAATGACCGGCGCCCGTTCTTAATATTATTTATTTATATTGTACCTAAACAAAACTTTCTAACATCAATAATGATTTTCTTAATGTACCATCTGACATCTTTACAGCGACGAGCTGAAATATTAGTATTGTTTGAACTGAATACTAAGCAGGGATAGGGGTCGGCTAATGAACGCTTTGTTCTCACGGTACGTCCAAGGAAAAATTGTAATTTTACTTGAAAAGCGATGAGACGTATTTTCCTTCTTGCCCCCTTGATTAAGAATGAGAGCCGTCATTATTTTTCTTAAGAACAAGAGGAACGAGATGAAAAATTTGGTTGTAAATAAATAATTTTATATCGTTATTAATTTTGGTTGTGCAAATATCTGACGCCTACGTACTCTTTACAAAAAATGACTACTAAATTTTAATCTGACAAAAACATCAGATCTAGAATTTATTCGATCATAGTTAAATATTTAAAGATTCCATTAATAAGCGATTTTTATCAATAAAATGGATGGACTCAACATCAAAGCTTTTAAGCATTTATACATTTTCAATAGGTACGAGTATTTGATCAATGGGTATTCAATAGGTCAAGTCGTCGTGGCCTAAAGGATAAGACGTCCGGTACATTCGTGTTGAAGCGATGCACCGGTGTTCGAATCTCAGGCGGGTACCAATTTTTCTAATGAAATACGTACTCAACAAATGTTCACGATTGACTTCCACGGTGAAGGAATAAAATCGTGTAATAAAAATCAAACCCGCAAATTATAATTTGTGTAATTACTGGTGGTAGGACCTCTGTTAGTCCGCGCGGGTAGGTACCACCACCCCGCCTATCTCTGCCGTGAAGCAGTAATGTGTTTCGGTTTGAAGGGTGGGGTAGCCGTTGTAACTATACTTGAGACCTTAGAACTTATATCTCAAGGTGGGTGGCGCATTTACGTCGTAGATGTTTATGGGCTCCAGTAACCATTTAACACCAGGTGGGCTGTGAGCTCGTCCAACCATCTTAGCAATAAAAAAAAAGTATTTTACATTTGACGCGATTTTGTTACTAAACACTAATTTGTATAGTAGGTACAGCAAGCATACTTTATTATACAACAAATATATTTTATTAGGCGCAAAAGAAAAATAACAACAGCTAAATTAAAGAAGACGAAGAAATTAGACGAAAATAAACCTCCAAATTTGTATCTATAATTCACTGTATGTGTATTTCTTATTGCGGGGCGTATAGTAAGCCCATACAGAGAGGATTTTAGATGTCAAAACACTAGATGGATTGACAAAGACATTGCCTACCTATGGATAAGTGAACTTAAGTAATTACCGGAGACCATAAATATTAAAGCGCGAATACTGAATTGAAACTTGAATCATGAGGTCAAGGTTTATTAATTGTGTGCAACAGCTGCTCCCACCCTTCAAACCGAAACGTATGTTTGCTACGCGAGAGAAATCGATAGAACAGTACGTACCTTTGGGGAATCACAAGGTTTATTAAGCAACTAATGGTGTTAAATTTTTCAAGATTCGTAGCGTTCGTAGATATAATAAGTGCAAGATTAAATTAGACATTTAAGCAAGGGAAATTATAATTACACGAATTCCATTTTCTAATTAGAAAGTACTTGCAAATTGAAAAGGATTTCGTATTGTTCATACTTTTACTAACTCACGCTGCGGTGATCACTGTTCCATGGAATAAAAAAAAACAACAATTCCAATAATTATTCGTGACCAACACCAACTTGATTGACCAACGCCAACTTGATTGTTCAGCTGTGAGAAAACACCAACGAGAACTTTCAAAATGTTTTGTAATTGAAATAATCGACTTGATATCTCAGGCTCTCGTATTACTGAATAATAGTTATAGACCATTCTTAGGAATAAGTAAGTAAATAACCTCCATTTTACTGAGACTTCATTTCATCCCATCTCTTCTTCGGTTCTTCATTTCGCTTCATGTCATTTTTCATAGTTTAACAGAATAGAAAATGTAAATTAAAAATACTAGTTAAATAAATAATAAATAATGGCTTAAAGGTCCCCTAGTCAGAACACTAAATCTTGAATCAATCAATCTCTTGGGTTAATGGCCTAAATCTTGAAAAAATCGCCGACTTTTTGGCGGGAACGCGAAGAGTGAAGTTGTGTAATTTGTTTTATTTTGTCTATTTAGTGTTTAAATGTATAATAATGGTGGTTTATTAACTGTTTAATATCTGTGAAAGTGCACAAATGTGGGAAAATGAAACATAGCCACTTGATGTAACTTCTCGGGATCCTCCAAAAAGCCCACTAAAAAATCTCAGTAACTGACCGCCATTTTACTGAGATTATATTTCATTCATATCATCTCATCTCATTTCACTTAATTTCATCACAGTTGGTTAATGTTTCAAAGTAATCATCTTTATTTCATTTCATTTCGTTTCACTCCATATTAGCAATTTTCATAAAAATATCTATCTATCTATCTCTTAGGTTTATGGCGTTTCCTTTTAGATTTCGCCAATGTCAATAATATAAATTAAAATAAGACATGACTTAAATCTTGGTTACAAGCTTAAAATCCCATAGAAAAAATATTGAAAAATAGCGCTGATGTCAACTGTCAATGTCAATTATTTACATTTCAACCGTGAAGGTTGTTTAATCTACGACAAAAGTTTGTTTGTTTTCAGATTGAATTACTAGAAACTTTTGGTTTTCAAACGATCTTGTAGGTCTTCAAAATGAATCAAACTATCAACGTAGAGCAATTAAATTCCGCTTTAAATTCACTACGGACACTACGATCGAGCGTCAGCCATGTATTCGAAACATTATCTAATGGACTACGCGCCGACCACGGCGAGGACGGCAAGGAGAAATTTCTATTAGAACTTCAAGAACTACTGAACAACGTTAATATAAACTTGAGGGACTTGGAACAGACAGTGAGTGGTCTCCCGATACCCACTGCTCCGCTGAATCTTGGTAATACCACGTATTTGAGTCAAGAAACCTCACAAGACAGGCAAACATTGTACACGCAGTTGGTTAACAGCTATAAATGGACTGATAAGATTCACGAATACAGCTCCTTCGCTCATACGTTACTGAGTCAGAACTCTCNTAATATAAACTTGAGGGACTTGGAACAGACAGTGAGTGGTCTCCCGATACCCACTGCTCCGCTGAATCTTGGTAATACCACGTATTTGAGTCAAGAAACCTCACAAGACAGGCAAACATTGTACACGCAGTTGGTTAACAGCTATAAATGGACTGATAAGATTCACGAATACAGCTCCTTCGCTCATACGTTACTGAGTCAGAACTCTCTCAAAAGGTCTTACATTAATTCTGGGAGTACGAAAAGAAGAGGCAAACTACAAAGTAATCACAATGTTGCTCCTATACAAGTTGATAATGTCATAAACAACATAGACAGATCCTATAACGATATGAAAATTACCATATCAAGACCATTTGCAAGTAATGCAGTTGTACAGATCAACCTAAGTCACGTTTTGAAAGCTGTTGTTGCTTTCAAGGGCTTATTGATGGAGTGGGTCATGGTGAAAGGCTATGGAGAGACCCTCGACCTGTGGACAGAGTCACGTCACCATGTATTTAGGAAAGTAACAGAAAATGCTCATGCAGCAATGTTACACTTCTACTCACCAACATTACCAGAGCTGGCAGTAAGGTCATTCATGACTTGGCTGCATAGTTATGTGAACCTTTTCAGTGAGCCATGTAAACGATGCAGTTGTCATTTACATCACACATCTCTGTTGCCACCAGCGTGGAGGGACTTCCGTACATTAGAAACATTTCACGATGAGTGCAAGCAATAGTCATTGTGGTATTGAATGTGGGGGCTTCCAGTTCTCTCGTTCAATACTATAAATTTTTTAAATGGACAATATTAAGTAAGAAAGTGTTAATAGTTAAACTAATGTTGAGATGGAACAAAGGGCCAATTATTTTGCAGCCACTATTGCCTATAGTCAATTGGAATTCATAAACCTAAACTGTAGTATTAATAAAGTGTATCTAATTATCTGGATAAGCAAGGTTGAATATTATAGCATCATAAATTCTAAATAATATTGTATTAAAATGTATAATTTAAATTGTGTATGTACTAATTGTTTTATTTTCAAATGGGTCTTTTATAAATCTTCTATAAATTTACAATAAACAATATACAATTTATGCATTTGTATACATTATGTTTTCTTATTTAATTATGAACTTAAGCACATGTGTTGGGTAACAAATCAGTTCATTCTGTTTCTGTCTTTGTACAACCGAATCTTAGCAATTATTTTATTGAAAGGAGAACAAGTACCCTCACTAATACACTACAGTATGCATTAGCGAACTTAATATCTTAGGCATTATCTACCAGTCAACTAAAGGTAATGTAGAGAATATAATGGTAGGTGCATTGAAACATAAATTGAATAAATGCACCAAAATAAATACTCTACTTAAGTGTATATAATTGCAATATTAAAAGGAATACACTTACTAATATAAACTTACATAACATCAACTTAATAAAATTAAATTACTTATAGATTCAAGATCATTCAGCTAATTTTTCTAACAACATTCACCAAACCCCTGACTTGAACTTGCACTGGCTAGCATACTCAAAGTACTCAATTTCACTGTGTTTTGTCTGTATTTAAAAGATGACCAAAGCCCATAGAAAGAGATACATTTACTCATTACTAGAGCAAACAGAAGAGGACATAATATGTAGTGAAAATCTGTCTTTTATCATGTAAATAATGTATAAACTCTCGGTTACTACTAGGCCTCCTAAGTCTTACCCTTTAAACCTAAATGTTCACTACCCTGCGCACCAGCAATATTTATGATTGGAAATACAAGTTAGTTAAATTTACCATATTCTTTCATTGACAATGAAATTGTAATTTAACTATACATGTGTCTTAAATGATCATGAAATTCACTATGTAAAAAAATATTATTTCACTATTCAGTTGAAACAGACATTACAAACAACCGAACTGAAGAACTAATTAAGATACAAGAATGCAAAAGATTATCTAATTTAGAGCTCATAATTCGCAGCATATTAACAATGAATCCAAATTATTATGACACAAATAGACTACTTTAAGATATCGTAGTTTATCAAAAAATGTTTAGAGGCTCTCAAAAACTTTAATCTATATATATAAAAATGAATTGCTGTTCGTTAGTCTTGCTAATATTCGAGAATGCTGAACCGATTTAGCTAATTTTCGTCTTGATTTATTCGTGGAAGTCCAGAGAAGGTTTAAAAGGTAGACAAATATGAAAATGCTCGGAATTAAATAAAAATAACAATTTTGTTTTTCCTTTGATGTGTCCCCTGTTGGACGGATTCCTTTTGATTGTTTTAAGTTTATTTTATACAAAAGCTTAGGTCTTATATTTATCGAATGAGGTACTACGAAGTCTGCCGGGTCAGCTAGTAATATAATAAAAACAAAGAATTTTACTAAATATTTTATTGCTAAATTAATAATTAGAACTGTCTTAACTAAACAAACGGTTTGCAAACTGCAACTGAATGGTCCACACTGCAAGCCACTTTAAGTACATGAGCACCAATAGCCACTTTTAAGGGAAAATGCTGATCATTTGTATTGCCCAAGCCGAGGCAGCCTTGCCTATTCCTGCCCCACATGTAGAGATCACCATTATTAGTGACAGCTGCGAGATGGGAGATTCCACAGGAAATTTTTTTAACCACACACTCAGGGTTGAATTCATTTCGGCCAAACAATGTTGGTGGTATTTGTTTAGGTGTCGCCGTATGCTGCACGTTTGGTCCAAGTCCTAGAAGACCGAATCCCCAAACAAAGACATCTCCTTGGTCTGTGAAAGAAATTGAAAAGGAAGTAAAATAGTAAATCTTTTTTATAAAACAAGTTCAGTTCCTCTAGTCGAAGTCTAATCTAGTCTCAGTAGCTTTTTTTCTGGCCCGTGCTGACTCTCCTACGAGATCCACGCGCCTACAGGGCGCGCTGTGTATATGGGACTAAACGGTCCGCAGATGCTGAGAGCGGACCGCGGGCCCAGCGTGCCGGAGTGACGGTAGCGTACGGCGCAGCATCGATCCTCTCAGGTCGCCCGTGACCTTCACCGGGAGGAGACTGCCTTCTCACCTCTCTCACCTGATACATTTACCTAATTTTTTTTATGTTTGAGAGATTACTGGTGGCCCGGAGGCCTTTCCAGTTTTACCAGGGCAGGCGGGCGAGCAAGGGCTCAGCCAGGAGGGGTGGTATTTGCTAACAGCTACCCGAGCGCCACCAAAGGAGACCTAGCAACTCAAGAGTGGCTTCTTCGCGAATGAATTCACTACCGCAACGGAATCGAAACCCGCAGAAACTCAGCGAGCTGACGTTTAGGTTAGGTTCATTAACCTAGTGTTCATGGACAACTAACTCTGTTGACTCAAAATAAGCTCAATTTGTCTAGAAATATCGGTTCATTGTTAATGATGTATGTTATTTTCCCACCACCACTGTCCTGCAGAAAATGCGTTCTAGTTGAGGACCACAGTGTAGAGAGCAGCACTCGGTTTCTTAATTCAATATGTCGAGCGCGTAGGTAACATTGGGCGGGCCGTGAACTCGTCTGTGGATACTCTGACAGACAGACATCCGCAATGAGTTAAAAGGTGAAATGTTATAGTTCCAACCATTAACGATCATGCAGAAGGATCCTCCCGCCGCGATGTCCACAATCCTGCCGAGTCCCCTGGTGAAGTTGAGGAGCGCGTAGGGCGTGTTGACTTGGTGTTGTGTCGTCGCCATCGGGATCTGCCCGTACTCAGAGTTGCCCCAACCGAACAGTTCTCCTTTGTCTGTAGACATATTATTATTATTATACAGATTGGATTTTATACCCGGCGTTCTCGTATCAAAGGAATTTTATCTAATTTTTTTTTGTAAAACTGCAACTTTTACGAAAAATGTGGAGTAGAAATAAAATCAGTAAAATTACAAATTTAAACAGGGCGAGTAGGTGAGCTCGCTCTAGTATAGAGCACAGTGCTGCCGCGTAGCCAACGGACAATACCACACAATAGAGACTTCGCCCGACCTCACACTAAAAGTTGTCAGCCGTTCATCATTACTGTGAGATTCCAGCAACTAATTCACATGAGCACCGTAAGTTAGACATTCTGCAATACATGAGTTGAAAATGTAAAAAACAAACACTATCGCATTTATAATATTGAATATGGATATTTGCTTTATAAACCCTAATTTAATGTACAAATGTGTCATGTATTTTTTTATTTTTTTATTTATTGCTTAGATGGATGGACGAGCTCACAGCCCACCTGGTGTCAAGTGGTTACTGGAGTCCATAGGCTCCATAGACAACGTAAATGCGCCACCCAGCTTGATATATAAGTTCTAAAGTCTCAAGTATAGTTACAAAGGCTGCCCCACCCACCAAACCGAAACGCATTACTGCTTCACGACAGAAATAGGCAGGGTGGTGGTACCTACCCGTATTATATTAAGGAGTATCACATTTCATTTACTTTAGCCATATTACATCTTAAGTCATATATAATACTGATAAGTTGTCTGAAACTCACTGTTCAAAGCTAAAACACAATCTCCAGTGGAAGCGACTTTGACAATCTTCTCTGTGGTGATATCGCCTATGACAGCGGTAGGAGTGGATCGATTGTCATAGTTTCCCAGTCCGGTCTGACCGTCGGCTCCCCACCCACACGCGTACACTTTACCAGACTCTGTTATGAACAGACTGGAATGTTTTAATTTATGGATGGCATAATTTTGATTCAGACAAATTTCATTGTGTAATAAAACATACTGTACGGGACACAGCTTGAGACATGAATTCTCAACGTATAGAGGATACAATTAAAAAAAAAATTTAAGAATGGAAGGAATATTTAAAGTCATTTGAAATTCATAGCTCAGTTTTATAGTACAACAGTTCCTCCACCCTTCAATCCAAAACGCATTACTGGTTCATGGCAAAAATGGGCAGAATGGTGGAACCTTGCCTTGTGAGTCCAAATACCTATCCTACCAACAGTAATACATTAGTTATACGTACGAGATTTTACTCCTTCATCGTGAAAGTAATCCATGGACTTTTGTTAAATACATATTTTATTATAAAAATTAGTAACAGCGTACAGGATTCGAGCACCGGCACAGTCGTATTGCCCGATACAAAATGTCAACTCTTAAAAGCAAAGCACTTAACAATTGAAATAAACTCACCTATGATCTTGTCCGCAGCATACATCAACTATGTTTTCCTTTCCAAGCTTTTGTATGTTATGGGTCACCATACTACCTTTATACTCCTCATTGACATTTACTTTCCTACCGCACTGACCATATGCATTGTTACCTAATGTATAGACACCTTCTTTGTCAGTCAGGATTATTGTGTGAGCACGTCCAGCTGCGACTGCTTTGATCTACGATAGGAGTATCAAAACATTGCTGTAAGCTTACTACTATTTAATTTCCTCTAACATTTCCTCCTGAATACTGATTATTTTTATTACTACAAACTTGTTGTTTAAGCCACTGTGGCTACCACTAAATCTTCGGCAAATAAGACTATTACTAACCTCACATTCCAAGCTCTTGTAAGGTATATAAATAGGTGCATAGCTAAGCAGAAGTTCCAAAGGATGATTTCGTCGTGGTGAATGGTATCCAATTTGAGAATCTGTATTGATACCGGTACCGAAAACTTTGTGCTGCTCTGAAGTTTTTATTGAGGCTACTGTGAAACCGTAGCCACAGGCTATGTTTGTTATCTGAAAATTCAGATTTTCATTATTCAGCTAATGTTATACATGATTTAAGAATATAAAATAAAAATCTAATGTAATAGATTGAATTTTATTAGCGTGCACAGCGTATACTTAAAATCTACTAAATTAGACTTAGCATTAATACTATTGTCTAGTGATTTTTGCAAGTAACCAGATCTGAGTTACTATGTAAATTATATATTGTTCAGGTTATAGGCCTTTTTTTTTTGTCAGGAGGAAATCGCCGGACCTCCGCCCTTCACTGGGGATGGAGGGCGGGGCATGTCGGAGTCGAACCGACTAAAACCTCCTGTCGCTCAACAACCAGCATCCAAACCTCGCATGAGACAGAGCTCATGAAAAGGCAAAAGGGGGAAAGTAAAGCGTTTAGTGCGGAGCACATCTCAGGTTATAGGCCTGATATACTACTGAAACTTGACAGATCCTTCACTTTCATTGAATGCTCCCATTAGAGGTAGTTTAAGTTGCTGNATGTCGGAGTCGAACCGACTAAAACCTCCTGTCGCTCAACAACCAGCATCCAAACCTCGCATGAGACAGAGCTCATGAAAAGGCAAAAGGGGGAAAGTAAAGCGTTTAGTGCGGAGCACATCTCAGGTTATAGGCCTGATATACTACTGAAACTTGACAGATCCTTCACTTTCATTGAATGCTCCCATTAGAGGTAGTTTAAGTTGCTGAACAGGGACAGAGGATGCAATGTTAAGCATATGTCATGGTAAGAATTGTATATGATTACACTAATTGTATATTTAGCACTGGTATCTGCTATATAACAGCCAGAATTTTCTAAGGCCTATTCTTACACAATAATAAACATAACAAATTATTTCTGCTGTGAAGCAGTAATGTGTTTCGATTCGAAGGTAAGGCAGCCACATTACTTTAAAAACAGAGACATAAAAATTCATATCTCAAGGTGGATGGCAGCATTTACATTGTTGATGTCTGTGGGTTTCGTTAACCACTTAACACCTGGTGGGTTGTGAGCTTGTCCACCTATTTAAGCAATAAAAAAAGTCAAAGACATTCTGAAGTTTAAATATATGTACTACACATATATTTAAACTTTTTAGTAAATTTAAAGTATTTCTAACTTTACAGTTGTCATGAGCAACTGACTACAATAACCAAAGTATTCAATAACTCAGAAATAATATGACGACAAAAACACTAAATTAAATGGTGAAAATGTAGTTTTAATTATCTCAGACTTTTTAGAAGTTGTTTATTTTTCTTTTAAACAAGTATTGGTAAATTAAAGTTAAAAGTCCTTACATCAAATCTCTCTGCAAAAGAAGACCTCATTGGATGCCAAACCAATTTGAAGTTGTTTTTGTAACTTTTTTTCCCTTTCTTGCCACGTGGGAGGTGGATACCCAGAGCACCTGTCTCAGCAAATCCCCACACATAGACTCGTCGGTCTGTACTTTTGCTTATTGGATACTGGAATACTGTGGGACACACAACACAGTTTAGAGTCAATTTATTATCTGAGCAGGAACTTACATGTTGTTTAATTAAATTCAAAATGAAAGTAGCCTGCAATCCTATAGGATTATATTACTGTAGCAATAGGAATCATTCTTCATTTAGTAAGCTAAATATTTGTTGTTTTAATAAATTCATCCATTATTCAACTTCCTATCCCTTTTTCTTCAAAACCATAGAGCAGTCTATCCCAAAGTGGGTGATAACGCACCCTGTGGGCGCTGCAGGCCCAAAGGGTAACAGACCCAGAAAAAAAAATTGTGTTGTGCAGAAGCTCGGGAGGCGATTTATAATTTCTAAGACGATTTATAAGAGAACTCTTAGACACCAACTAAACTCTCACTATAGTGGTTTTTTAGGTATGTGAAAAAATGGGGGCGCTAAAAAATAATTTATTCTCAAAGTGGGCATTACACAAAATAAATTTGGGAGCCCCTGCTATAGAGTGTAGATTAATAAGATAATACATAGTGTGGACTTCATTTCATAGTAAAAACTCGGATCTATTTTGCCTAAGTTTTATCTCAAAATGAAAAGTCACTTCTATGTTGGTATCTGTTTATGGGCCCAGTAGTATGTTACTTAGGCATCATGTAAAACATTTCATAACTTTTATTAATCGTGCCAACTGCCCTAATATGTCCTATAACCTAACTAAATAGTGAGAAGTTTGTTATAATGTTATCTTTGGTCCATTAAAATTAATGTTCGATGTATATTGAGAATTAAAAACTTGAAAAAATAAATTTTGAATAATGCAAAAGGACTGTAAGAAGTCTAGAATGCAGAGTTATTTTTTTATTTTTTTTATTATGCCTGAACCTGTTATAATATTTAAAGATGAATAGGAAACTGATATTATAAAAATTATGTATTGTGTACTTATTTACTTGGTAAAAGCTCCTCTTCACTTGGGTCATGAACTTTCTTCTTAGTCGTAATGAAAACTCGATTCAACAAAAAAACAGGACTTCGCCGCTGTATTAAAAATTTAGCTGCATACATATTAATTCAATTTCCAAGCATACCACAATCAAAAAACAAATTGTATCTATATTAATCAAGTGTATTTAACGTAAAGCACTTTTTTATTTCAGGTTATGTTTTGTCGACTTTTGTTTTGATGAGGGATTTATGACCTGGTAACTAAGACCTTTAAGTCATGTCTTATTTTAATTTATATTCTTATTTTTATGAAAAATGATAATATGGAGTGAAATGAAATGAATTGAAAATGACTGGTGGTAGGACCTCTTGTGAGTCCGCACGGGTAGGTACCATCGCCCTGCCTATTTCTGCCGTGAAGCAGTAATGCGTTTCGGCTTGAAGGGTGGGGTAGCCGTTGTAACTATACTGAGACCTTAAAACTTATATCTCAAGATGGGTGGCGCATTTACGTTCTAGATGTCTATGGGCTCCAGTAACCACTTAACACCAGGTGGGCTGTGAGCTCGTGCACCAATCTAAGCAATAAAAAATAAAATAAAAAAAAAGATTAATTTGAAACATTAATCAACTGGGATGAAATTAAATGAAATGAGATGAGATGATATGGGATGAAAAATATTCTCATGAATGGTGGTCATTTACTGAGATTTTTTCAGTTGACTTTTGGAGGATCCCGAGAAGCTATGTCCAGTGGCTATGTTTCATTATCCCACATTTGTGCATTTCACAGATATTAAATAGTTAATAAACCACCGTTATTACGCATTTCAAGGGTGGGGCAGCCATTGTAAGAGATAGTGGGTGGCACATTTATGTTGTAGATGTCTATGGGCCATACAAGACCTGACTTCGGCTTTTTTGAAAAGTTATTTCGGAAATTATATAGAACAGACAAGGCTGCATGGGCTTAGATCCCCTTGCCTTTCCAAATAAGGCAAAATTGTACCAAAAAAATGTCTATGGGCTCCAGTAACCACTTAACACCAGGTGGGCTGTGAGCACGTGCACACATCTAAGCAATAAAAAAAATGATTTAAACCTGAAGAAACACAAAATAAAACAAATCACACAACTTCACTCCTCGCGTTCCCGCCCAAAAGTCCGACTTTTGTTTTTGAACCATAGATAATACCATAGATAATACATGTAATATTTATCAGACAGCTTAAGACGAATATATTAAGTGTATAATCTATGGCTTAAGAGCTTCTGGCTGTAAGCAGCCAGCACTTACAATCACATATTGATTTAGTAGTTTTTGTATAGTGCTCACAATGCTCTAGCAACCTGTTGTCTGCTATTTTCTTCCATTTCACACAATCGTGAACTTATTCGAATACTAAATAGGTTACGTAGCTACATGTAGTCCACATTTAAATTTAGTTAAAAGAATAAGAGAAAATAATTAACACTATATTAGTATTCCTATTCTCCTAAAAGTCACCGATTGTAAACCTAGTTTGACGGAATTCGTACTTTGCAATGAAATATCTCGAAAACCGCTTCGAAAAATATACTCTTTATGTAGGATTACCCGTTACCATTATTGTTATTATTTCCGTATTTTTATGGGTCTTTTTATTTCTTGATACTTTATTTAAACGGGAAAACAAATATTGTGCAGTTTTCAGTTACCTTGATTAATTTGTGGCGTTTTATTATGCGTAAGCCGGAACGCACGAGATGTGGAAAAAGGATATAGTCTGTGACACGAGACCTTTTTACCGCCAAATATGAAAAACATAAAAATAATTTATAATGTGATAATAACTAATTTAATGTAATTACTTTATGCCGCTACAACAATAAAATTTATATTGTTCCAACTGTGGTGTTAATTACATAAAACACAACCAGGCGAAATAAAGAAGGGACTCTATATGCACTCCCTCAAATTGTTCGATAAAAAAAGTCATAGACCTAGGTTTCCTACTTCATTGAAGAAAGTACGTATTTTGATCGCATCAATTTGACGTAACCAAAATCCGGTTACCATCAAAACTACAATAGGCCGTTTTCCAATTACAGAGCTTAATGCGACTCAGTGACGCACAATGCCGAATTATGCTGAAGCTTAGTTAAGCATAATGCCGCATAATGCGCTCTTGTGCTGTAATTGGAAAACGGCCGTAATAAAGGACCTCCACCAAAAGTGACGGCTTATGTTAGATTAGAACGTTGTATGTGAATGTATACATTATTTCATCAGTATACATGTTATATTTAATATAATTATACATTGGGCTTATTGGGTTTTATAAACATCAGTCGCTTTCATCACTGAACAAGCAGACGACGGGGCAAAGCCGCCATTGCCCTAAGCACATCCTTCGGATCCTCCCGATCCACTTTCAGTAAGCTTTTAAGCACTACAAGCACTGATCACCGTTCTCGTCGAAGAGTTCGACATGAAACATGGACACAACCCTTAGACACAACAAATTTTCGCCGGATCTTCTCGATTCCGATCCGGTGCTAGCTTCAGGTGCTAGGGCTAGGTTTAGCAGTTGACCACGTAAGCTCACCTAACAAACCGTGCGTAGTTGGAATAGCCCCTTAGGCTACCAAAGATTAGGTAGGAAAAAAACATTGAGAGGCCCAATTATCAAAAAATAAAACCACCACGCCCCTTTAAATCCTATATTTAAACACAATAGTTACATTTTACTTTATTTTAGACAGCAAGTTGGCTCGAATCTGAGTATTCTGGAAGAGAGCCTTAATTAGATTCCGTAACTCTTCGGTTCTGAAGTGGACCGCCAAGGGACCGGTACCATCCTTCCAGTGGTTGTCGATATCCTTCAGAGACCCTCCAAGGACAAAGATTAGCTCCTGCAGCTTTATCCAGGATTTGACGTGAGTTTCTATATCTGTTGAACTCTAAAAAGTACGCAGAAAGTTAAATTCGGATAAAAAATATTTCCCTAAGAATGACATAAATAATTTTATCGATTCGATCAAGCACAAAATTCAGAAAAAATTGTGCATAATACCTAAAAATATTTGTTTTTAGGTATTATGCACAATTTTTATCAACTGATAAAAAAGTGGTGAAACTTCACCACTAGGAAATCGAGATCTCTCATCATAAATACTGTAGTTAAAGTGCTATACTTGATTACTAAAATTATAAGCAGTCTTATAGGTAAATAAACACTATTGTCACAGTTTTTAAATCTACACAGTTAGAAAAATAATGTAATTGCGTAGATTTTTTACTGGTGGCAGGACCTCTTGTGAGTCCGCACGGGTAGGTACCACCGACCTGCCTATTTCTGCCGTGAAGCAGTGATGCGTTTCGGTTTGAAGGGCAGGGCAGCCGTTGTAACTATACTGAGACCTTAGAACTTATATCTGAAGGTGGGTGGCGCATTTACGTTGTAGATGTCTATGGGTTCCAGTAACCAATTAACACCAGGTGAGATGTGAGCTTGTCTACCCATCTAAGCAATAAAAATAAGATTAACGAATGGGATCTGGCGGAGAGAAGGGGCGCGCATCGCAGCCCCCAATCGCGCTTACTTTGCGCACTCAAGCGATGATTACAGATGCGATCGTGCTCATCGCAACAAAATTTTAGGAGGATCGTTAATTAGGTGCATACACCTTTTTTTACAAGCACCAGATATCAAAGGGGTGAAAGACTATTTGGTTTAAACGAGATTTCGCTAAATACGAGACATTTATCTTTGTTCTAGTAAAAGATAGCTTCACTTAAAAATGATGATATCAGAATGGAATGTTACAAGAATAAAGATAAATTATACCAAATATTGATTAAATGCTTTGACAAAGAACTCTATTAACCAAATTACATATTTATATTCAATACTATTTCCTGAATAAAACATGCGTCTTTTGCCTGGTCAGCCCTGAGCTAGAACACTATTTTAGGCAGAATATCAATTGCTGGAAGTAAACTTAAAGAGAAATGATTAAATTTAAATTTAAAAAATTCTTGATATGTAACTAACTATCCAGCTGTCAGTCTTCAAAGCGCTCACCTTATAACAAATTTTATTTTAAAGACAAATAAACAGATTAAATGGCAGCAAGCTTGTCTCCAATCAAAATTAATAACATTTGCAAGTCCCAAATGATTTAATGTTAGTTACCTGGAACAATTGTGGTGCCTTTTGCACTACTAATGTATATATCTCGGTCAGCTGTGTCGCCATCTCCATTGAGATGTCCTCGACGGTGCACACTCGGTGAATGAGTTCCTCGATGAACATGTTGACTAGGGTTGCCATCAACCTTCAATCAGAAGATTATAAGCAAAAAGTCTAAGCAGGCCGTGCGCATGTTAACCAACCTCTTTTTTTACTTTTTTATTATAGTAACTAGGACTCATTAACTTGTAATACCTATGCAATAAAAAATTACAATGACTGACTGTACCTTGTGAAGACATTGATAGGGAACACTCCTATCCACACATTTTTCAAAAGCTGTAGTTGCCGCAAGCACTGGCGGATAGCGGCCTCAGCATTGGAGCCTAACACTTCTTTGACCACCATGCAGTTGAGATCTTTAAAATAATATTTTCTGATAAAGTTCAACAAATGTTGAAATGTTTCTGTAAAAGCAATGAAGAGATACCCACAAACCACAAACTGTTGAGAAAGCACAAAAAGCACCAATTTAAAATCTTTCACTATGTCATGTTGTTTCATATTTATTAAATGAGGTATTGCTATTCATCACATTTGCTGTGTTTGTCATGTATCATAATTGTACTAGCATATGTACAAATTTATTGCTCACCTGAAGAACGTATGTTATCCAAGATTTGTTTCCTCTGCTGCTGCAGATGTATTGTAAGGTGCTTGTAACCCAGTTCCCGTAACTTCTGAACCAAATCAACAAAGCCAATGGGATAATCGATGTCTCGACCCTCCATCAATGTTAACCACTTATCACCAAAGGTCATCATATTGTGTGCAAGATACATACAGTTGTTGTGGAATAATGCTGTTGAAATTAATTATATATTTATACTCTTTCTGAAATGCTCTTTATCTGATTAAAATGCTAGTCAGCATACAAACAGATTATTTATAGAAAAAGCGTACGTCGGTAAAGGTAATAGTCATAATAGAGTGTAATGTAGTCTTTATTATCATCTTACCAACATACTGAGGAATAGTCTGCAAGTATTTTTCATGGTGATATGGCATCACTGCATCATAGAGCTCAAATATTAACCTGGTGGTCTGATATAATTTCTTACAAACTACATCAGAACACTGCACAGCTTGCTCCATTATGACATAAATCAAATCTAGAAGCTCTTGAGCTGTTTTTGATATCATACACCTCGGAAAGTAGAATAAACTCTTTGGTATTGTCTTTTCAAGTATTCTCAAGGCTTCAGCTGCCTTTCCATAATCATCACTTGATTCTTCTTCATCAGAAATATTCTCAACACCAATAGACATACAAACACTTAGGTCTTTCAGCATTATGTCTCTAGCTGTCTTCAAGAAGTGATCACTAGATTTCTTTGAGAATAAGATATCTATATCTTCTATGTATTTTAATATAGATATATCTTCTGTAAAGAACTTCACAATGAAAAGGAAATGCTGAAATTTTTCTATCTCTGAAGTAATTTTACCACATGTTTGTAGATCTATAATATTATTTGGGATTGTGTCTATGAAACAGTCTTTCATGATCAGCTCACTGAACGGTCCGCTAATTTCATTCCCAATCAACTTCATAATACTACAATTCTTATCATATTCAAATTTCAATTTGGAACTCAAGTGATGGAAAAGTAACCTAAAGTTGGCTATAACTTGATCATAAGGAGGCTTATAATTTTGCTTGTAATTTATTGTTACTGTCAATAGCTCTTCAGTTTCTGGGAAAACTATACAGTCGTTATAAATGATTGGCTGTAGAACTTCTTTATACAAGAACTGAGAGAACTCACTAACTTTTTCTTTCAAATTTTTATTTTTATCCAATGCTCTTATCACATCGATAACAAATGGTGTATCTTCAATTTTCAAAGTAATTTTAACTACTGATTTCTTTGAGCTGACTTTAGTATTCCATGACACAAGTCTTGTCCATTCTGTATACAGGTCTTGCAGGAGTTTATCCAGTATAAGTTGAGCTGTATGTTTTGTGTTAGCATATATATCTAAATATTTGAAACCTTCAGCAGGTAGCTCTATATATTGGAGTAAATCATACACAGCCTCCACAGCACGTGTGTAACTTTGTGCCTGTCTTCCTTCTTCAAATTGCTTCACAAGTTTACCACACTGTCCAACATCATACACAATGTTCAGTGCAAAATTAACATGCTGCAACTCTTTAGTGATCTGGTCATGGGTTTCGATGGATTTGAGCACTTCTGCCATTGTGTGCTCTTCTATTTCCTTCTTGCATTTTTCAAGTTCATCANCTTCCACAGCACGTGTGTAACTTTGTGCCTGTCTTCCTTCTTCAAATTGCTTCACAAGTTTACCACACTGTCCAACATCATACACAATGTTCAGTGCAAAATTAACATGCTGCAACTCTTTAGTGATCTGGTCATGGGTTTCGATGGATTTGAGCACTTCTGCCATTGTGTGCTCTTCTATTTCCTTCTTGCATTTTTCAAGTTCATCAACAACGGCTTTACTATCCACAAACAATATTTTACTCTCCTCCAAAACTGAATCTACATTATACTCACAAGTTTCCAAATAAGATTTTAAATCTATTTTTAACAGTTCTATTTCTTTGGTTAGAAGGGGTATTTTGTCAGCTGGTTTCCAGTTTGTTTCATTACAATCAAATATATTTTTTAAAACTTCTTCTATATCATAACTCTCCATTTTAACGTTTTCTTTTTGACTTATCTTTGTGAATAGAAGATTCAGAACGTCTCTCTCTTGTTGGAGACTTATGAGAGCGGCGGTGGCTCTTAAAATGATATTTATTGGATCCTACTGCATTTCTTATGGTATTCACCAGAAAACGTTTGTTGGTTTTTTGAGGAGGGGCTTTAACCCAACCTGACGGACCAACGATTTCAGCTCTAGCGGCGCCTTGAACAGCTTCTCGTATCAGTTCTTCAACAGCCAACCTGAAAACATAAGGAATCCAGTAGTTCGATGTGCCATTGTTTACTAGCCGATCAATAAAACCAGACAGTGAAGAAATTCATTTCATATTAATACTCGCACTGCTATCCATTAATAATGGATTATCGATTGATGCAACACTATTTACCTACATAGAAATACGTACTTCTCTAGGGCTTCGTCATCTAAAGGAACATTTTCAGGTTTATTGTCGACATCTTCTTTATCTGTCATAATTTTTATACAAATTACAGTTTTATTTAAGGCGATACTTAAAATCAAACTCTGTCCGCTTATTAAAAGCTAAGATATCCCTTGAAAATCCATTTTAAAAATCCTCTACTCCCAAGAAAACAAAACACGTACATTACCATTTGACAACCTTGATTGAGAAACATAGAGTAGACTGCTGTTGAGTTACATAGGTTGAAAATGTTGAAATGTTCCAGTGCATTATTTCCGTTTTCCGTTCTCTATTGAAGTCAATTTTTATCCAGTACTAAGATGTTTTCAATTACGGATTTAAAACATAAAACTATTCAGTAAATTCGAATTGATGATTAATTTTAGTAGAGGTTTCTTGCAATTCATATTACGAGAATACAACTTACAGAAAAGAGAAAGTAACTTTGAAGACTGAACGCAACATAACTGTACAATTGTAAAATCTGGCAATGATTTTGAACGCGTGGAGTGAAACGTCAGCCACGTACTTTTTCTGTCAGCTGGCGATTGTAACTGATCGTTGATCCTTCACTAGAATATTTATTAATTAATCCAAACTAAGGTAAGATAAATGAAATATACTAAAAAAAATATTGAGATATCTGGAATGTTTCTTATTTAATACATATCCATTACATTGTTATTCATTAATAAACAGATATCCGCAAAACTCGGAAGACAACAATCTCACTGAATTATTGCAATTTTCAGATAGAATGGCAGCGAAACTGTTATATTTTGTACTCTTCATCGCTGCCGCAGTGTCTGCGGATGATGAACCCGTGCTAGCAAGACTACTAGTGTCAAAACAAGTGCTAAACAAATATTTAGTAGAGAATATGGATATACTAGTAAAATACACATTGTTCAATGTTGGGAGCGCACCGGCTGTTGAAGTGAAACTCGTGGACAACGGCTTCCATCCGGACGTGTTTACTGTAGTAGGCGGACAACTGACCGCGGAAATCGATAGGATTGCACCTCAAACTAATGTATCCCATGTAGTGACTGTCCGGTCCAATAAGTACGGCTATTTCAACTTCAGCTCGGCGGAAGTCACATACAAAGCCAGCGAAGACGCCACAGACGTGAGTTTTTTTCTTTCTATTATTCTTTTACATTATGTAGCTAAAAATCTCCCAACCTAGATTACTGGAATTTTATATATAGTGAATCCATTCACCCACCATAGGCATGAGGCTGTAAACTTAAATGTATTTAAAGCCTACATTTCAATTTTTAAAGCTTGGTTGCTTGTAATTTAGAATGTGGTGGCACCAATGAGAGCTAGCACAGTAGTACTAGAAACAAAAGGGTTTGGCTTTGATTACATTGAGTTTGGAAATGAATGTGGTTCTTCATTGTTGAAATCATTCCTAGATATGTAATTGAGTAAGCATGTGCTTAGAAAATTTGGTACCTGCTCCACAACTGAAACTCCAGCATAGACATATTACTCAATATGAATGCACAGTTTCTTATCTGTGGGCTCAATCTTGGTGTAGTCAAGGCTATTAGCTACATGTTTGTGGTCCTATTATATCACCATTTATCTAGTAGGTGTCATGAAAGGTATCTAAAAGGTTCATTGGAGAAAGGACATCAGTTTTCTTTGAGTATTATACTGGTGCACTAAAATCACCACAATTATATTTAGTGAATTTTGTACCTTTCTACAAGTGAGTAGTACCATCCTGCCTTATTTATGTTGCAAAAATATCATGATTAAATTTGGAAAGTAAGACACCCATTATATGTGACTTTATCATCAATTAAATTTTCTATTCAATCAATAAGAAGTATCAGCAAGAAGCTTGTGGGCTTGCTCTTTTCCGAATTAATGTACATCATACAGAATACTTATAAGGTATTATTAAATCAGTACACATAATAACTTGAAATAGAAGAAAAAAGTCTCTATTATTGTGCACTGGCCTGTGATCTGTTCGCATACTTTCTGTGTGGGATAGAAATTCAAGTTTATGCTTTTTATCATTAACTTAGATAACTTAGATAAAATGCTTGACCTAGAGAATAAAACATAAGTCACATAACTGAAATTTATATACTAACTTAGGTATGGCTTTGTACCACAATATTTAATCACAGTCACAATCTCATGAGTGGCCCTGTATATGTTAACAAAATAGTTATTAGAATTAAAGTTATCATATAATTTCGAACCAAGACAATTATTTTTATATTTATTATATAAAAAAAATCTGTACTGTACTCCTCTAATTACAGGTCCAATATTCGATCAGCAGTGCTCCAGGAGAGGGAGCCATCGTAGCCTTCAAAGATTATGATAGAAAGTTCTCCTCGCATATCCTCGATTGGGCGGCATTCGCAGTTATGACCCTCCCGTCCCTAGCCATTCCATTTGGCCTCTGGTACTCATCAAAGAGCAAATATGAGAAGCTTTCAAAACCCAAAAAGGGACACTAGTTAAGTTTTTATTGTAATGTAATTAGTTAGGTCTGTGTTGCTAACGTTTCAATTTTAAATCGTGTATTTTTGGTTGAACAATGTTTTAATAACAGCCATAGACTTTAATAGATTTAAATATATTCTATGTTTTTGTATATAAAAAAAAGTTGTTACCTGACTGCCGAAGTTATCTTTTTCATGTGATTGTGTAAATGTACAACAACGATTTTAAATGAAAGGTCAGCAACAAAAGTTCATGTTCCATTATTATGTCGCTCGCGAACATCTCTTAATTGTTAATATAATTTATAAAGAACAATAAAAACGAATCTTTTACATTTGATATTTTTATTAATTTGGTATTATTTAGTATAAAGTGTTGCCCACGCTTTTTAAATAACCTGTGTAATGTGTAGACTCGCGTTCTAACCGTCGTATATTCCATGCTTAAATTGTGTTAATAATAATTTACCTATGAAGTTGCCGTTTTACAAAATTAGCTATTTGAAACGTAATGTATGTGGCTGAAAATAAATTTTATTTTAAAAATATGGACATATTTTCCAATTTAGTAATTTGTTTATTGATTATTATTTTATTTTCACTAGATTTCTGTCTTTTGCCTCAATATGGACACGAAAAAACACGAATAGTTATGGAATGCGAATTCCGTCGCGGTAGCAATTCCGCACAAATTCCACACAACATTAATGACGTCTGTGGAGTAAGTAGAACCCTACAAACGAACGCATGACTCGTTATTAGTTGGAACACTTCCGACATGTAAATTTTAATTTGAAAAATAATTCCAATTGTCGGACGAAAACTAAAGTTAAAAACCAAAAGGAATGCGTAGAAAAATTACGATTACAAAATTGCTGTGATACCATGATTTTCATTGAAAACTAGCTGACCCGGCAGACTTCGCAGTACCTCAATCGATAAACAAAAGACCTAAACTTTGTTTAATTCCGAGAAATTTCATATTTATCTACCTTTTAAACCTTCTCTGGACTTCCACGATTAATTCAAAACCAATATTAGCCAAATCGGTCCAGCCGTTCTCGAGTTTTAGCGAGACTAACGAACAGCAATTCATTTTTATATATAGAGATTGAAAATAAATAAATAAAATGACTAAGTTTCTAGATACACGGCACATTTGTAGATCATATTAAGTCTAAAAACACATGGAGTCACAGGCCACTGTGTTTCTTTCGGATGTTCGCAGTGGGTCGTGAATCCGATTCGGCGGTAGATTCAGCGAAACACTGCCCTTGCTAAGACGAATGTTAGCAAAATCACCAGGTTGAGACTCGTGAACTTGCCTATACGCTCGGTGAACCTTATATAACCTCTCGAGGTTCACAGGATAGGTAGGCAAAAAAGCGCATGAAGCTACGAAAAGAATCCCGCGCGCGCGTTTGGAGATGTATAACATATGGCCAAATAGTGTTAGCAGATTCTCTCAGATTGAGCCCATGAGCTCACCTACCCGTCCGGGCGTGGCTGGAGTAAGCTACCAGCGAATAGGAATGTTTTTTTTTATTACTTATAGTTGGACGGGCTCACAGCCCACCTGGTGTTAAATGGTTACTGGAGCCCATAGACATCAACGCCGTAAATGCGCCACCTACCTTGAGATATCAGTTCTAAGGTCTCAAATATAGTTACAACGGCTGCCCCACCCTTCAAACCGAAACGCATTACTGCTTCACGGCAGAAATAGGCAGGGCGGTGGTACCTACCCGCGCGGACTCACAAGAGATCCTACCACCAGTAAGGTTGAATATGGTTGAATATATTCTGCGAGACGAAAGTATACGGACTCTGTTACGATCTAATAAGTACGTTCGAATCTGTCATATTTTTTATTTCTTACATTAAATTTATAATTTAATAAAATAATATAGATAATAAAAAAACAAATGCTTACTGTAACGTGAAGAGATGTCTATTTATTTTAATCAACGCAGCGCCTTTATGCATACTCTGAGATTTTAAATAAAATAAAATATACCTTTATCCTTTATGAAGTAATTTTTAAATTAAAATTCAATGGAGTAAAATGTGAATACCCCATACAACCTAATATTATACCTATCTCTATCAATCGTATGGAACATTGTGTGAACAATAATTCAATTAGGTACCTATTCGTATCGTAAATTATTTAATATCATTTAATTTTATGGCCTGACAAGTTCTATACTTAATTAATTATTGATCAAGGAAGATGAATAAATTTACATAACGTTAACTGCTATGCAAAGTTTCCAACTCATTATGGTGTAGTGAAGCATCCTTGTGATTTTAGCTATGCCATATATGTTTCCGTAATCCATGCTCCCAACAATCAATGCAAATTCCTCACAGACTTCAGTGTGCTTAGTGCGAGTTTTTTAACGTTCTCGATAGCGTAAAAGTTAGCTCATATTTGTATGGAATGGGATCGTTTGCGTACGTTTGCCGCTAGGGGCGCTGTTCCAACTGCATACAAAATTGGCTTAACTTTTACGTTATCGAGAACGTTAAAAAACTCGCACTAAGCACACAGATAACGACTGCGTATCGCGAACACGCTTTATGAAACATCGCAATGGCTTTAATCCTAGCTAATTATGCACAACAGTTTTTATTTAATAAATTTAACAAATATAGTATACTTGAACAATATAATTTTTGTAAGTAGTAAATAAATAATAAATAGTCAATAGTAGATAGTGGCTTGGCTCTACCCCTGGCATTGCTGTC